AGTAGTACTTTCAGAAGTAGATTCGGTTGATTGAGATGTAGATTCGGTGGTACTTTCAGAAGTGGATTCAATTATTTGAGATGTAGATTCCGTAGTACTTTCAGGAGTAGATTCGGTTGATTGAGACGTAGATTCGGTAGTACTTTCAGAAGTGGATTCGGTTGATTGAGACGTAGATTCGGTGGTACTTTCAGAAGTGGATTCGGTTGCTTGAGACGTAGATTCTGTAGTTTCTTCAGACGTAGACTCTGTAGTTGGCTCTGCAGTAGATTCTGTAGTAGATCCAGTAATCGATTCAGTTGTAGATCCAGTAGATGTAGATTCAGATGTAGATTCAGTAATCGATTCAGTTGTGGACCCAGTAGATTCAGATGTAGATTCTGTAGTACCTTCAGAAGTGGACTGTGTAGTCAGTTCAGATGTGGCTGTAGTCGTTTCAACACTTGGTGTTTGTTCCGTAGTAGATGGAGGTATCGCGCAGTCTCTTGGAGGATAAACTGATTCAGGATAATTACATGTGTCAATGCTAGGGTCCCATATAGTTCCAGGTGCGCAGTCGAAATAATACACGTTGAAGCCGTTTCCGTTATCAACGCAGCGATAGAATTTGTCACAGCGCGTTGGATGCGGATAGAAACCTGGTTTATTGCAAACTATCGTATTATTAGGCTTCTTCGTGGTGCAATCTGGAACGCTGGACTGAGTGGAGGACGTTGATGAAGTTGAAGATTCAGTTGTCGCTGATGTTTCCGAGCTACCTAGAACTGTACTTGTTGTTGGACTTTCTGTTCCTCCAGATTCTGTACTAACTGATTCAGATGTGCTAGTAGCAATACTTGATGGTGTACTCGCTGTACTTTGAGTTCCTCCAGGTGTACTGGTAGCAGTGGAGCTACTGGAAGAATCACTTTCAGATGGTGTTAAAGTAGACGCTGGCGCATTACTTGAGGAACAAGAAGCTACTAAATCGATATAATTGCATGTCTTAATAGCTTGATCCCAAGCAGTACCAGGTGCACAATCAAAGTCGTATCTTTGTAAACCATTTTGCGTAGGTACGCAGCGGTAGAATTTCTTACAGTCATTTGGATTCGGGAAGAAACCTTCTTCTGGACATTCTGGTGATCCAGAAGGTGAACTGGAGGTTGGAACGTTTGTTTGTGTGCTGGACACGGTGCTGTTCTCTGGAGGTAAATAAACTGGTGTAACGCTTGATTGTGTAGATTGAGAGGATGTACTCGTTGCAGGAGATCCAGTGGAAGATGGCACTGCAGGTTGAGAACTAGATGCACTTGATTCGGCTGTAGGAGGTGCAGAAGATGGAGCCGTAGATTGAGAAACAGGTACGCTTGATTCTGTAGAAGGTGCAGTGGAAGATGGCACTATAGGCTGAGAACTAGATCCACTTGATTCGGCTGTAGGAGGTGCAGAAGATGGAGCCGTAGATTGAGAAACAGGTACACTTGATTCTGTAGAAGGTGCAGTGGAAGATGGCACTGTAGACTGAGAACTAGATGCACTTGATTCGGCTGTAGGAGGTGCAGAAGATGACGCCGTAGATTGAGAAATAGATGCGCTTGATTCTGTAGGAGGTGTAGTGGAAGATGGCACTGTAGGCTGGGAACTACTTGATTCTGGTGAAGAGGATGACACAGATGGTGGACGAGTAGTTGATGTAGAAGACACTTGAGTTCCTGACGGCTCATTACTTTCCGTTTGAGATGAACTTGCCTGACCAATACTGCTACTAATCTCGTTTTCAGACGAGTTTGGCTCTGTAGTGCCAGGAGAACCAGACGAACCAGGCCTATTTTTACAACTAGCAACCAGATAATCGTGGTTACAGCTCTGAAGTTCCGAATCCCAAGCAGTATTTGTCCCACATTGGAATTCATATTTGATAAATGTTGAACCACTGCCAACGCAGCGATAGAATTTGCGACAGTCGTCAGGATCAGGGAAGAATCCTTCTTGTGTACATTGCGAAGTTCCAGGAGATGTACTGACGGTAATTGCTGGAGAGCTGGATGAGCTTGCTGGAGGTAAATAGGAAACAGATTCTGTGACTGTAGCTGTGGACTGGGTTTCTGTACTTGGTC